GACCGACTGAAAGGGAACCCACAATTCTTTGCGTCACTGTAAACATTATTATAAAAAAAATGGTGGTTGCCGGCAGATGTAAACAAAGACTATAGAATACCCTTAAAGGGACTTTGATGTAACGTTACACACAAGTGAAGATGTAAATATAAAAAAGTTCTTTTTTAAACTGTATTACCTCAGTTGGTAGATGTGGTAAACAGCATTACAAGTGTTGAGTGATTTTTTACTTTGCTAGCAAGGCGAGAAATTGTTAATTTGTTTAACCCTCTGGTATTGTACATTTAGGGGTCGCTTTCATGTTGTTAACTGTAGAAACGGAGACAATAATCTTATAATAAATTGATTTGTACATTTAGTTTTATGAAATGAATGACTCTATAAATGTGTTGGCATAGCAACGTGATACTTCCCGTTTCTTTTTCCGCCCATCCTACGAAGGCCGACTCGTTTAATTCTGGGTTTGAGGACACTCCGTATACACTTCCTTCAGAGGCAGCCTTCGAAATGAGACACGGCTAGAGTGTGATGTTTGCACCATGGCATTGCATTAAAAGTGGTAACCTGCAGTTGTAACCCTGAAGAGCTTTTTTTTTTTTTGAATACTGGATTTACAAAAATCATTTCATGTTTATGAAGTGTTTCAACATTGCATAAATTACTGGACACATACATTTTTATTTGAATTATCATTCAGTTGGTTATTTAACCATGTATTACTATGTCTTTGGAAGGCTTTTGTCTTTCAATCACATTAAAATGCACAAATTCACATTCTTATTTCCGTGTAAAGCAAAGATTCAGGTATTAAGCAGGGATTTTTCTTTCTTTCACTTAATATATTTACTTGAAGTAGCTACCCCCGAGATTTTAAGTTAATAATGAAGTATTTTCTGGCATTGGTTAATGGTCACATTACAACAAATAAAACAAATATTTTATATTTTAAATGATTTATTTTAATTTGACATGTTTATGATTTAATTAATTATTAGCTTTTCATTAAACTCGCAAACCATTAATCTCACAAACATAGTTTAGGAAACCTTGATGTAATGTAATGTTTAATGCACTTCATGTTATTAATAACAACAAATATTTCTTTCTCTCTGCATTTTTATATCAATATGTTACAATATTTCCTATTTAAGTCAATGTGATGAACAAGTTAGATCAAAAGAAGTCTAAAAGTAATCAAAAGGTAGTCAGATTATATGCCTAAAATGTGTAATGTAACAGTTTAAGTTACTAACTACAATTTTTGTCATGTAATTGGGAATCAGTAACAGACTACAATCTGTAAGTAATCTACCCAGCTCTGTGCATAGAGAGTAACCGAAAACTGAAGACTAAGGGAGTGTTTGCACGACACCGTTTTTAACTAAAAACTTTTGATGCATTTTGGCCGTTCAAAACGAGCTTTAAAGTGTACGATTTTGAAAACTGTATTGTTATCGTCTCTGTGTAGACAACATAAACACGGTTCTCAAAAAATGTGAACGGCATCGCTTTGACAACGTTGTAATTCATATGTGAAACTTTTCACAACTGCAAAGGAAAACCTTTTCTGTTTTTAGTGCAACGTTGTCATGTAAACATACCCTTACTCAAGAAGGCTAAAATACACAAGGGTGACTGGCTAAATGGCAACTAAACTAGACACAAGTGATGATGATAATTAGCAAACTAATGACTATAAGACACAGAGAGCAAAGACGACCCCATTCGCATCATCAGCGCTCCCGATGTCATCATAGAGGTACGTCTGCGCAATCCCAAACACGTTCACACTGAGTTTGACAGGACCAAGGCGAATAAATGGTTTGTTTAAACTCTGTGCGGTTGTGATTCATTGTGAAGCACGCAGGCAGACTCTCTCCACCTCTAGACCTCGAAAGGAAACTGAATTTTTCTCTCCAACAATTTAACTGAAAACTGTTTTTTTTAACTCGTCGTACAACTTTCACTTGACCTCCTCTACATTTCGGTCCAAATATCTGCCGGTCACAAGTTCATAAGCAGATTTTTGATTTTCTAAATGGTTTTCCAACAGACAAATTTGACTGTGAAGAGACCAGTCAGAAATTGAAGCTGTGCCTTGACAATTCATTCATTCATTTCATTTATTTATTTTTTAGTCAGGGGTAATACACATTAATAAGACATAAAATCATTGTAAAATGTGCCAGATTTACCCAGGCCAGCTCATTTTCATCTGTAGTCCCAGGGCATGTTGAAGTTTAAATGAAATCAAATGAATGAATGAATGAAATTGACTTAATTATTTAATTATTTTATTTTATTTTAGAAAAACCACTGACTTTTTATATATTTTAATTCTACTGAGAATCTATTCCAGTCATGATTCTTTTAAAGACAAATGATAACTGACTAAAGCTATGGATTTTTTTGAGCTCGTGTGTTCCTTTCTGATAGCTGATTTACTCCTTAGATGTGACCCTGGAGCACAAAACCAGTCATAAGTGTCAATTTTCCTAAATTGAGATTTATGCATTATCGGAAAGCTGATGTATGGTTTGTTAGGATCGGACAATATTTGGCTGAGATACAACTATTTGAAAATCTGGAATCTGAGGGTGCAAAAAAATCTAAATATTGAGAAAATCATCTTTAAAGTTGTTCAAATGAAGTTCTTAGCAATGCATATTACTAATCAAAAATTAAGTTTTGATATATTTACGGTAGGAAACTTACTAAATATCTTTACGGAACATGATCTTTACTTAATATCCTAATGATTTTTGGCATAAAAGAAAAATCAATAATATTGACCCATACAATGCATTGTTGGCTATTGCTACAAATATCCCCCAGCGACTTAACACTGCTTTTGTGCTCCAGGGACACAAATATGATGCAAAATCATTAAGAATCTTAAAAACCAACAATAAATCAGCTAATTTGATCTAGTGTTCCCAGCTCAAAAAAAGAATACATAAACTAAAATACCACCATAATGGAAACTCTTTGGCTTTTTATCTGATTCATAAGAGCTTGCTTATACACAGTTTCAACAGGCTTAAGATCAGACTTGCATGTTTGTGTCCAAGTAGTCCCATAATATGCGGTAGAATCATAGCTTTCATGAATAACATTTCAGCCTAACATTTAAGTTAAGCTGTTTCTAATGAACCGAAAATTGGCTAAATTAAATGTCACTGTATTAACCACTTTTTCACCTTTAAAAGAACGCTGAAAATCAATTATTATTCAGAAAAATATTTAAATTAATTTCTGTCCTTGGACATGTACTTCTGCTTTAACATCAAACATTACCCTTTCTGTAAAAAACATGCTCAGAGATTTCTTGGCATTCAGATGCGAACATGATTTAGTAAGCCATTGTGAGACCTGATCCAAGGATTTACTTATTGAAGTGAACATTAATAGGTGACTTAAGGATTGTCCCGAGGGTCCCTGTAAACTTTGTGGGACAGAGATGTAAATTAGGGTTAAAACTGCTGATAACCTCAAAAATGTTTTGCTGTCCTTGTGTTCTTTGGGATCATGGTTAACTTACCGTATACCTGCAGCTGCTTGGCCACATAATTGCTGCGTGCAGCTATATTTTTAATTGAACTCTTTTGTTAAAAAATGTAAACAACATTAAAAACTTACATATGCTGTTTGCATAAACATTCAATCCATGTACTGTAATCTTGAGTAGAAATGCCCAGAGGAAAGGGCCAAAACCATACTGGACGTCATTTCTGCAAAACAAAAATACTAAAATGTGTGGAATTAATATGCCAACAGCATCAAATAAATGCATTTTGTGAAGAATATGTCCTAGCATAAAAGAAGGCTTTACAATATTCGATTTAGGCTTCGGATGCTTTGAAATGCAGCACATGAGAGAGTCTGAGACACGCGGTTTGTACTGCACCCGTGTGCTCGAGGCTAAACGACCTCACCTTTACCCAGAGATCACATTATTTGAGCCCATTCCCGTTACACTGAGACCTCGCCTCATCGGTCCCGTCGTGTGTGTGCGTCTCAGAGCACAGCGTGGCCGTCTCGGTTTCGTCCAGAAGTGCAGCTGTTTATGTCTGCGAGCATGTTTGTTTGTGAGTGCGAATGCATGTGTTTGTGGTGTCGTGCAGCTGTGTTTATGTTTGCGTGAGCCTTTTCACAAGCTCGCAGGAGCGTTTACGTCTGCATGTGTGTAAAAGCATGCTCGAGTCTGCATTCGCATACCTGTTTGTGTAATTTGCACGCATATTCTCCTTTATTTAGTCTGGTAGAAAAGCACTCTCCTAATATTTGGTTTATTCATGTTGCGTTGCGTTAAAGAATTGTTTTGGCTGAATGCTTTCTCGGTCTCAGCCACATCTAAATCGGGGTTATTGAGCTCCGGTCCTGCAGAGTACAGCTTCAACCAACCTTCAAACACCTGACTGGAATAATTATGACAGGATTATTATAGTTAGCTAAAACTAAAACCATAAAACATATTTATTTGAAATAAAAAATATTACCGGAAATAAAACTAAATAAAATACACGTATTTTATTTCAGCTAGTTGCCAAGGCAACATTTCTCATTTTCATTTAGTTTAACTTATAAAATAACTCAAACTAAATAAACTAAAACTAATAAATACAATTTCATAAAAACTATATAGACATTTAAAAAGCTAATAGAAATTACAAAAACACAGAATTACTCAAATTTAAGTGAAAACAGAGAATATAGAAATAAAATCTAATTCAAAATATTAACAAAAAACGTAAGAGTATATTAATGGCACCTAAATAAAACTGGTTCAAATATTAATTATAATTATAAATAGTAGCCTAATTATAAATATAAATTATATATAAATAATGAATATTACAAATGTAATTAAATATAAATACACTTTTTGACCATTTTAGTCAGATCATATGGTGACCAGCAGGGGAAAATAAATAAATAAATAAAATGTATCCATATTTTTTGTATAGCTGTGTGCTGTAGAGTATTTCAGCTATTGTCTCACTTGTGTCTATTTTTATTGTCTTAAGGAATTTTAAGAGGAACATCTAAAAAACTCCATTAGGTCTCCTGAGCACTGAAAGAGCGGCCAATTTTCCTCTGGGAAATCCTGTCTTGTTATTTTACTGCATGCAATAAACCTGTGTGTGTGTGTGTGTGTGTGTGTGTGTGTGTGT